AAAAAATGCTCTGGGCTGTCCCAAAGTACCAAGTTGCTATTTGTGGATGATATTTTGTGCAAAGTTGTTATTTCCTTTCCCCATCCATTGAAAATATGAAAGTAGCAGGGGGAAAAAAGGGTGGGAGAAGTTTAAAAATAACATGGAAGTCCGAGAGTTTTCATAGGACCATTTTCTTGTGTGATATTCAGCTCGACTGTGACCCCCATTGTGCCTTAATCTCTCCAACTTTGAACTAGTTTCCTGCATATCCCAGGCCTGCATGAGACTTCATAGTCAGTGCTTTTAAGGACTTTGAGGTGCTCAGATGAAAGACGCGGCCCAGGCAGAGGTGTTATTGGCGCCATGCAGTAAGGGCCAAGTGGGCTCCTGATTCAGCAGCCTTCCTGACTCGGGGCACAGTGTGCCCACTTTCATCTAAGTCCCCGGCTTCTCTGGAGGAAAGGACAGGGAGGAACTGTGGGTGGGATGAGGGAGATAAAGCAGCTTGTGTGTGGATGAGTCACAGAGAGCCTCATTTGTGGTTGCAGGTCCATTCATTACTCACTGGCTGGCACTCCCACTGATGGCTGAGGGAGCCCAAGTTTCTCCCTGCACTTTGGTGATGTGCCGGGGACTGGGATCCTTGTACCTGTCTGCTGTGATAGGGATAATTACAGAATGACAGTATTAAACAGCAGGTTGGTCGTCACACACATGCCAACACATAGTGATGAATGAAGGTGAGTAAATGGTTCCGACTCTCACATATCTGTAAATGAGTGCCTCTCACAGAATCTCCTTGAAGAAGAGATTGCAAATGGGTAGCTCCCGCAGCAAAACATATCTCAAGTGTGCCTGGCTTTACTAGTAAGTAATTCAATATGCATGAACTTGAGTTTCCGGAACAGGTTAGTTAGGGGGAAGAGGTGTGACTCCTCACATCACACAAGAACTTTTTGCTTTACAAAGGGACTCATCTACGGGCTCTATTTTTTTTTTTTTTTTTACTGTGAAGAATACAATAACATAAAACCATCTTAACCATTTTAAGTGTGCAGTTCAGTGGCATTAAGTACATTCACATTGGTGTGCAACTATCACCACCATCCATCTCCAGAACTTTTTCATCTTTTCAAACTGAAGCTCTGTTTCCATTAAACACTAACTCCCCAATCCTTCCTCCTCCAGCCCCATTGCAAGCACCATTTCTACTTTGTGTCTGTATGAATTTGACTTTCTAAGTACCACATATGAGTGGAATCATACAGTATTTGTCTTTTTGTGGCTGGCTTATTTCACTTAACATAATGTCCTCACGTTTCATCCATGTTGTAATATGTGTCAACATTTCCTTCCTTTTTAAGGTGAAATAATATTATACTCAAATTTTTTGAGCACCTATCTACTATGTGCTAGCACTGTGCAGGTAATACAAAGACAAACAAGGTAAACCTGTGTCTGCCTCCCAGCACTTACACTCACTTGACAGTCCAGGCAAGTACAAAGGCAGTCACAATTACTGTGCAAGTGCTAAGATGATACAGAGCATTCTTGGAGCGTATATATCAGGAGCATGTTCCAAGATCTTCAGAGCTTCAGAAAGACTTTCTGAAAATCTCCCTAAAAATGATGTCTAACCTAAGACTTGAAGAAGGAGCAGAAGATGGCCAGGTGACAGAAAGGGTAGAGAGACTTCCAGGTACATGGAATAGTAGATGTAACTACCCAGAGGTTAGAGATATCAGAGATTTCTGAATAAATGAAAAGCAGTTAGGTATGACTGGACCATAGGAATTAATGATACCATTGCAATTAACCTAGCTATTAATAACAGAAAAGGAGTAAAGGGAGAAGCCAGTCATTATAGGCATGTCATTTGGACAGCTTCACCAGAAAGCTACAACTTTATACTCCCTAGTGATCCAACAAAGGGAAGATTGACACATGCCCAGTAAAGTTGGGGGGACTAGTGAAGGTCCTTGCTGTCCATCACACCTGGGGGCAGATGGTTGGCCAGAATGGGTGTGACCACCATGAAGATGTGGGATACTTAATTTCCTGAAAAAGAACTTCTCTCCGTTGATTCCTTTCACCTTGGCTCATGGCTCACACTTGGCTTCCTGGCATTCTCCCATGTGGCCCATAGCTATGTGGACCCCCACACATAATGGACTAATAGATTGTAACTAGCCCGATGCTGAACTGGACCCAGCTGCAACATGGAACAGGAACTCTGGATTCTGACTCTGCTTCCAGCTTTACTGAAACCCCAGCTACACTCCTTCTATGACTGGACTAAGGGAAATGCGACTTTAGAAACACAGGGATGTAATTCCATGGAAATAAAGCTTTTGACCATATCTCACCCTCCCATGGGGGCCTCAAGAAATGCTTATTCTAGCAGTACCCCTAAGAACTCCACTTCTACTGATAATACTATGAAGGGACGAGGGCCTCTGAAGGAGGGTGGTTCCCCTTATTATTAGAGAAATGGGAAGTTACAGAGAGAGCTTCCCATTCAGATGGACATCTTGGAAAGATCACAGTCTGGAGAACAATTGGCTAAATAGTAAAAAGGTAGAATCAGCAGGACTTGGTGAACCATTAGATCTAGGGTTGTAGAAGAGCATGGAATCTCCTAAATTTCTGACTTGGGTTCCATAAAACAATAAAAGAACGGGAGGTTTGGGTGGGAAGATATAAGTTCCATTTGGACATGCTGATTTTGAGAGACATTTAAGTGCAATTATTCAGTAAGCAGTTGATAATCCCCTCACAGATGGCATGCAGGATCTATAGATGCTGCAGAAATCATGGGAATGGGTGAGACCAGAGAGGTGAGTCTCAGGGTAAAGACATACGAGAGCTGAGGAGTAAACCCAGGGAATTCTAACATTTACAGCTCAGGCAGAGAAGGACTCTGAAGAAGAGGCTGTAAGGGAAGCCAGGGTGTGAGCAGAACCAGACGCAGGAATCATGTACTACAAAGACAGAGTCTCAAGGAGGGCGAGGTCAAGTGTGTCAAATGTTTTAGGGAGGTTAGGTAAAACAATGATTAACAATTATCCTAGAGCTTGGCAAGAATGGTTTCAGAGGAGAGATGGAGGTGGAGCAGACCGCAGTAGTTGGAACGGTGGGAGGTGAGAAGAGGCTGTGAGTCAATGAAGGAGGAGGCCAGTGTGTCCTTGGTGGTAGAGCAAAGTCTACGTCAACCAGGGGAGATTAGTGGAAGCCGCAGTCATGAAAGCAGATTAAGTCCATGGCTGCAGGAGGACAGGCTAGTAGTCAAGAAGGTGAGAGCCAATGTGGGAACAGAGATGTTGAAATGATTAAAGACGAGTGATTCTGGCTGATAAAGGATGCAGAGCCACCGACCGCATTTATTACTGTTGCTATTTTTAACTTCAAGCTTTGAGTGTATTCCCCCAGACAGGGAGCAAGAGTTGGATAAATGTTATTTAAACATTCATTGGACATTTTTGAGCACTTATTATGGGCCATGTGCTGGCATTACAAATATGTTCCTGCACTCTAGTATCCCATGTCTTTGGAAATACCTGCATTTTAAAAAGGCAAAGTAAAACTCTATTTTCCAAAGCATCAAAAACAACAAAGGATGTACGTTTTAATAAAGTTTTACTTGATTTTGTTATATTGGTGCATAGTTGCATGGAGTTTTGCCTTTACAGTTCACATTCCCAGTGCCTAAGGGGGGTCAGACAACACTGAAGGCAAATAGTCAAAATTTGAACCTAGAGTCCTGTATAAGTCAGGTCCCAGCTGAGGAACTTAGGGTCAGGGTGGATGGAGAAACAGACCACGAGGGAGGGACCAGAGGACCCAGGCTGGTGGCATTGTGGGACAAGCTCATGACCAAATGTAAGTGGTCTTATCCCATGTGGGTATAGATTAAGAATAGGAAATTGCTTTTGATGTATTTGCTATGTAACTTTTTTTTTGGGGGGGGGGAGTGATTATACATAAAAACACTAAAGGAAAATACAACAAAAATGTTAACAGTGATTATCTCTTGGTGGAGGGATTATGGATGATTTGATTTTCTTCTTCATAACTTTTTATATTTTAAATGAATAGTATTAATTTTATGATCTGAAAACAGTGATATTTTTAAAACAAAAAGAAAATATCAAAAAGAATCAAGATGATAACATTGTTTCATTCAAAAATGGTGGAAAATAGAGTATTGGTAGGAGAAATACTCAGAAATAACACTGGAAACTCAGGGGTCACATGCCATGCTTAACTGTGTCCTGACCTCGTGCTGGTCCTAGGCATTTTCTTTAATCGATTTATCACAGAATTGAGGACTAGCAGCTCTGACCATGTGATTGTGTGCCAACCCCTGCTCATGTTTCCTCTAGAAGAGGGAAGTGACCTGCTGAGGCTCATACAGTTATTCTGTTATGTGATCATGCAATTTTGTCTTGAAATTCTTAGGTACAAAGTGGGGTATGAGGGTAAATAAATATTGAGAGTTATAATTCTTAATTGTAGCATTTTTATTCATGAAAAAAGGTTGTCTCTCCGAAGGACTTGTATGCATGCATATAAGCATAACCAATGGACATAAGACACTGCGGGGTAGGGGAGGCCGGGGGATTGTTAAGGGCGGGGAAAAAAGGAGACATATGTAATACTCTTTATAATACTTTAAGCAATAAAAAAAAAGAAAAAAAAAGGTTGTTTCTGATGAGAGTGTGACATATTCTAAAACAAAGGTCACCACTAACTGAAATAGAGTTTTTGAGTTTAATTCATTGATAGGAGGGAGGTTATTCTTTTAAAAAGACATGCATGACTATTCTTAAATTCAATTTTCATGAATATCTGTCAATAGGTAGGGAGAGATGGAAATAGAATTTTGAGTATATACCCTTGTTTTAAATACAATTTCTCTTTATTAGCCTCATGGGAAGGGGACCAGCTTTTCTTTGTACCAAATCTCTTTTTTAAAAAAGTGAAGTGTGGGTCCTACAAGTTGTTGCTTGTATTGGCAGGTGAATGAAAATGCTGCCACTGGTGGAGAAGAGAAGCTTGCTGCTTTCCACACCTATTCCTGAATAGCAAGAAAGAAGCCCTACCCAGAAGCTGGAGGGAATCCAGAAGATGTGGACAAACCCACAGCTTCTCCCTTGAGAGAGAGGTGTGTCCACTCATTTCTCAGGTCTACTGAAGCCTTGAGAAATTAATTGAGGGATTGCTTGCCTTGGAGGCCTTTCACCTAAGCAGGCTCAGCCCTGATCTGCAGCGTTCAGACTGTCAAATAGGCACACCTGGGCACCGCGGTATGTGACATTCCAAAAACACAGCTGCTGACCTAGGACTCTGTACCAGGGGTGGGCAAACTTTTTGACTCGAGGGCCACAATGGGTTCTTAAACTGGACCGGAGGGCTGGAACAAAAGCATGGATGGAGTGTTTGTGTGAACTAATGTAAATTCAAAGTAAACATCATTACATAAAAGGGTACGGTCTTTTTTTTTTTTTGTTTTGTTTTATTCATTTCAAATGGGCTGGATCCTGCGTAGTTTGCCCACGGCTGCCGTAGACCCTCTCAGCCCTTTAGGGCCCAAGCAACCCAATAGGGGACAGCTCTGGGCGGGCCTTTCTTTCCTTGTCAGGTCCTCAAAATACATTACACTGAATGGTCACAGCTGAATTTGAGAAATTACTGGCATAACTCTCAGTTTAATTCTATAGATGGAAAACAAATTATCCTTCTATGAAACAAAAATCTGAGTTCAAACCTATTTAGAATTTTTTAGTGCCCCTGGGGTCAACCTAAAAATGCCACTGCTTTTTCTTCCAATGCAGATGTCCATCAGGGTGTTGTAATGGGGTTTTCTTCCAATGGACCCAGTTTGACAAATCTGGTAACAGAGAGGAAAATATTGATAAAGTATTGGTAGGAAATCTTGGTAAAATATTCTAGATATTTGGTGCACCTGTAGCCTCATTTGCCTAAGTGAAATAAAGCAAAGCTCTAGTTAGTATGGATTTTGGGGGGTACATTTTTGGCATTAGGATAGATGATTATTTAGCTCCTATATTTAGATCTATGAATAAGTTTTTGTGTGTAGTGTGTGGTAAAGGCTATAATTTTTTTCCTTTGGCATCTTTGTTGAAAACCAATTGATTATAAATATCAGGGCTTATTTTTGGACGTTCTATGCTTATGTCAAAATAAGATTGTCTTAAGTACTATAGCTTTATAGTAAATTTTGAAATCAGATAGCATAAGTTTTCCAGCTTTGCTCTTTTAAAAATATTTTGACTTTTCTAGGTTTTTTTGTATTTCTAAATATGATTTTCATAGGGTTTGTTTGGAATCTCTAGATCAAATTGTGAGAATTGCCTTCTTAACAATACTGAGCCTTCTAATTGATGTGCATGGTATGTCTCTCCATTTATTCAGCTTTTCAGGTAAATATCTTATCAACATTTTGTGGGTTTTAGTTCATAGCACTTATACTTCATTTGTTAAATTTGTTCCCAAGTATTTTGTGTTTCTTCTTATGCTATTGTGAATGGAATTGCCTTTTAATTTCACCTTTTATTTTTTGTTGTTAATATATTGAAATACAGTTAATTTTGTATATTGGTTTGTGTCCTGTGGCATTGCTGATCGGCTTTATTCATTCTAGTAAGTTTTTGGAGACTCCTTAGAATTTTCTACATGTTGTCTGCGAATAAAGGCAGTTTTACTTCTTCCTTTCCAATCTGTATACCTTTTATTTATTTTTCTTGCAATATTTCACTAGCTAGAGACTGTAGGACAGTGGTGAGAACACTTCTCAGTCTTACAGGAAAAGTATTAATTCCCTCACTATTGTATTTACTTACTTTTATTTTTTAATTGTAGTGAATTATAAAATTTTATAACACAAAATTTATCCACTTTAACTTTTTAAAAAATTCTCACCTAAAGACATGCTTATCACTGAATACCAAGAACCTACAACCAAGATTACTTTATCCAGCAAAGCTATCATTCAGAATTGAAGGTCAGATAAAGAGCTTCACAGATAAGGAAAAGCTAAAGGAGTTCATCACCACTAAACCAGTATTATACAAAATGCTGAAAGGTATCCTTTAAGAAGAGGAAGAAGAAAAAGGTAAAGATACAAATTGTGAACAACAAACATGCATCTATCAACAAGTGAATCTAAGAATCAAGTGAATAAATAATCTGATGTACAGAATGAACTGGTGATTATAATGAATCAGGGACATAGAAAGGGAATGGACTGACTATTCTTGGGGGGGAAAGGGGAATGGGAGATGCGGGAAGAAACTGGACAATAATCGTGCACCTATGGATGAGGACAGTGGGTGGGGAGTGAGGGCGGAGGGTGGGGCGGGAACTGGGAGGAGAGGAGTTATGGGGGGGGAAAAAAGAGGAACAAATGTAATCTGAACAATAAATAAATAAAAGACATGCTTATGATTTTTAGAGAGAGGGTAAAAAGAGAGAGAGAGAGAGAGAGAGAGAGAGAGAGAGAGAGAGAAACATCAATGTGAGAGAGAATATCGATTGGTTGTCTTCCATACATGCCACAACTAGGGATTAATCACACAACCTTTTGGCATATAGGACGACACTCCAACCTACTGAGCCACACTGGCCAGGATCACTTTAATCATTTTTAACTGTACAGTTCACTGGCATTAACTACATTCACATTGTTTGGTACCCATTACCACCATCCATCTCAAGAACTCTTTCCATCTTCCCAAACTGAAATTCTTTACCATAAACAACAACTCCTCATTCCTCTCCCCCATCTCCATCCCTGGCAACCGCCATTTTGCTTTCTGCCCCTATGAATTAAACTATTCTAGGTTCTGCATATTAAGTGAAATCATATAGTATTTATTCGTCTGTGACTGGTTTATTTCACTTAGTATAATGTCTTTAAGATTCATCTATGTTGTAACATGTGTTGGAATTTTCTACCTTTTAAAGACTGAATAATATTCTATTGTATGAACAGTCTTTCACTAATAAGTAAAATGTTCTTTGAGTAAACTTCCTTTTCTTCTTAGTTTATTGAGAGATTGTATCATGAATGTAAATTTGATTTTGGAAATATTTTTTTGCAGCTATTGAGATGGCCATGTGGTTTTGTCCTTTTTTCTATTAATAGTGAATTATATTAGTTGAATTTTGGGTGTTAAGACACCCAAAACAACTGTGCATTCTGGGATAAATTTCACTTGGTTATGGTGTATAATCCTATGCTTTTTTTCTAAGAGATATGGATGTGGATATCCAGTTGTCCTAGCTGCTATTGATGGCGAATCTATGACACGTGTGTCAGAGGTGACACGTGAACTCATTTTTTTGGTTGATTTTTCTTTGTTAAATGGCATTTAAATATATAAAATAAATATCAAAAATATAAGTCTTTGTTTTACTGTTGTTGCAAATATCAAAAAATTTCTAGATGTGACACAGCACCAGAGTTAAGTTAGGGTTTTTCAAAATGCTGACACACCGAGCTCAAAAGGTTCGCCATCACTGTCCTAGCATCATTGTTGAAAAGCCTGTTCTTTTCCCATCAAATGATCTCAGCACCCTTGTTAAAGCAATTGACTGTAAGTGTAAGGGTTTATTTCTGGACTCTCAATTCTTTTTTTTTTTTTTTTAGGTAGATGAGGGCTACTTTATTGAATGATTGATCCATGTGATTACCAAGGCCACTATGGTTTTAGAGAGAAAGGAAGGGAGAGGGATAGAGAGATGAAAACATTGATGATGGAGAAACATCGATAGGCTGCTCCCTGCCTACCCCCACTGGGGATTGAGCCCATAACTTGGGCATGTGCCCTGACTGGGAATCAAACCATGATCCCCTGGTTCATAGGTTGACACTCAACCACTGAACCACACTAGCTGGGTGCCAATTCCTTGGTCTCTTATTCCTTGGACAGAGTATTAATGATTTCCTGCTTCTTGGCCTGGAGCTGCTCTTCACTTGTGGATGTGTTCTATGAGCATCCACTTGTTTTTGAACACATTACCTTTCACTTTCAGTTGCAGTGGTTCTCAACCTGTGGGTCGCGACCCCTTTGGCGGTTGAACGACCCTTTCACAGGGGTCGCCTAAGACCATCCTGCATATCAGATATTTACATTACAATTCATAACAGTAGCAACATTACAGTTATGAAGTAGCAATGGAAATAATTTTATGGTTGGGTCATAACATGAGGAACTGTATTTAAAGGGCCAGAAGGTTGAGAACCACTGAGTTATAGGCTGTGGTACCTGTGGCAGTAAATTTTAGATTCATGGTACTTTCTGAGTAACTGGTGAAGAATCCTCATCCTCCACATCCAGTTACCTTTTCAGGCATTCGAGCATTGGCAGTACCCTTCTGCCCACGTGCCTGCCCTTACTGTGAGTCAAGGAGTTTTTCTGGCATCGAGCCCAGGAATGGACAGTCACAGGCCTCCGGATGATCAGCCCATCTTTGATCCGCTTCTGAATCTGCTGACGGGAGTTGGCCTTGATGATTTCATTGGTCCCATTGGGGTCTAACCAAACCTTTTTGCCACAGCAGTGAAAGGAAAGAACTCTGAACTCTTAATTCTGATCCCTTGATCTATATGTCTTCCTTATGCCACAACACACTGTCTTGATTACTATAGCTTTACAGTAAATTTTTAAATCAGCAACTATGAGTTTTCCAACTTTGTTCTTTTTCAGTACTGTTTTGGCTAGTCAGTGTCTTGTAATTCCTGAAGTCCTTTCTTTTGGTTTGTTAATCCTCACCCGAGGATATTTTTGCCATTGATTTTTAGAGAGAGTGGAAGGGAGGCGGGAGGGGAGAGAGAGAGAGAGAGAGAGAGAGAGAGAGAGAGAGATTGCCTCCTGCAGGTCCCCCCACAGGGGCCAGGGATTGAACCTGCAACCCAGGTACATGCTCTTGACCAGGCATGAAACCCGAGACCCTTCAGTGTGTGAGCTGATGCTCTAACTACTGAGCAACTGTGGCCAGGGCTCCAGGAATCTAATGAAGTCCTTTTTAACCTCACCTCACCTGGGAAGAATTGCCTTCACTCAGTTGTGATTTAGGGTCATGCACTATGCCAGTGGCACTTCAGGTTGGCAATACATAAGAATCACCTGAGGACCTTTTGAAGAACGGTGGATAATTGAGGTCCATCCAAAACCAGTTAAATCAGCACCCCTGGGCTGTGAGGCCTGAGTACTGGTAGAACTGTCCAGTTGAGCTCAGCTCAATTTGCTGACCCTCAGAATAATGAGCAAATAAAATGGTGTTTGTTTTAAGTTTTGGGGTGAGTTGTTACACAGCAATAGATAACAGATATGAAATGTGTATCCCAGCTTGAGAACCTTTAACCTTTACTAGAGAGTTTTACTTTACTTACTATTTTTGCTATGGGAATGAATGATTGGCATAGTGTCTACTTGCTCACAAGGTAGGGAGATTAGAAGCTAATGTGAACTGTATATGAATTATATATTTTGGAACTAAGTGTTCAGAAAAGCTCAGCTTCCCCTTGATAGGGGGTTTTATAATCTGATAGAGCACTTGAATTAATCTGAAAAAAATCATATTATTTTAAGTTTTAGAACACAGATACTGTACTTATGTGAATAGGGGGTTAAGTTTTTCTTAAGTTTCCTTCTCAAGGCCTGTGTGAAGCGATTGAGGAGGTGACTCAGCTGTGAATCCAGCAAGCAGAAGCGATAAGCATGGTCAGACCTACCCACTAGGAATCAAAAACATCATCTCATCAACATTATCTCATCAAAGGACAACAGCTGACGCCTGCGGACCCTCAGGACAGCACATAGCTGCATTCCATTCCCGGACTCACCCTAGCCCTTTCCCTTTTATAATCCTGTCCCCTGCACCTTGCTGTAAGGCAGGATTTGAATACTTGTAAGCCCCCTGTCTTCTTGGTTGGCTAGCCTTCTCAATAAACACCTTATATGATTCAATCCTGCCTTCGGTATTGGGCAGCCGGAGCCCAATTGGGGGTTCCTGGTAACACCCCAAGGACGTTTCTTTTTCTTTCTAACAATTAGAGCTATATGACTGACTATGTTTTCCTTTTTAGTTTGGCTGCTAGTAAGCAAAAAGTAAAAATTGAGGCTTAATTATAGCAACTATATAATTTCTTATAGCCTGCATGCTTATGTTTTTTCTCCCTTTTCGGTTATTAACCTTTATTTTAACAACTAATGTTTGTTATATTTTATTCTTATTTGTATATAGTCATGTTATTTTATGTATCTTTGAGCCAAATTTCTTTAAATCCCAAGCCTAATATAGTGCGCAGAACTTTCTGTTCTCTACCAATATATGTTTGATTACTGAAATAAGGCATGATAACTGGCTGGGATGGGAGGGCAAGAAAAACTAGGCAAACTCGTTGAAAAGCTAGGTAAACAAGTTGAAAAACTTTATCAACTTGATCAGGGACGGGGATCCATTGGGGCCCAGCTCCCATTTATCAATCATCTGCTGTGCTAGATACTTGCCTAGACCATTGTGCTCAAAACTGGGCTGGGTGAGGGTGGCTGCTAGAGTTCCCAGGAACATGGACTTCGTGATTATATTCACACCTGTAAAAAGGGTTGAACCAGCCTCCCTCACAGGAATGTTGAGATTAAATGAGATTATATACTTAGAGCACCTGCCACAGAGTCAAGCACATGGTGTGTTTATAAATATCTTCCATCCTCATCCCCTTCCTCAATTGGATGCTGCGATAACTTGCTAAAATTATATTTACTTTACAAAAATAATATAATTTGTTGAATGTTCAAATGAACTTTGCCATGTCTTGATCAGAGGGACTTTCTCATCTCTCCTTGGTGGGGGGTCAGGGGAGGAAACGGAGTGAGAGGCTGAGCTCCCCTCATGGCTCATGATAAACACGAGACACCTATGTGTGGAAACACCACTCCAAGGGCTTGGGTGGCAGGAACATTTTGATGCTGGA